TTGATGGTTCCCCTTTTGGGGGGCTGCCATGGAACGGGGATCTCATAGCCTCAAAGTCTCCCTCAGCCCAGACCACTAGGTGTCGCTTTTCCACCAGAAGTTCACATATTTGTTTGGTTTAAACCCAGATTCCTACTAACTCCCACCTGTAGCTAAGTGGGAGCTGTACTTGGGGGTCCCTGGCTATACATAAATTGTGGATGTCAACCTCGAAAACTGAATCGGCTTCAACCCGCCTGGTGGAACAATGTCGTACCAACACAAAGTCAGTCATCCTCAGGAACAAAACAAACAAACAAATAATCAACAACTGTAATACTGTTCTATTGGGTCTTCGCGTGTTCTGCATCCTATCTCTGGGCGGGTCGCTTTATTTATAGTGGAGCCTGAAAAAAATTGCAAGCTCTCTTCCACCCGTTGATTTAAACTTTATGTTCATTTTCAACTTGTAGTTGCGTAAAGTTAAACAATATCTTTACAGGTTAGTTACTCCGGCTACCCACCATGGTACATAACTCTTAATTTGGATGGATTCCATCAGTATCAGTATAGATTCGAGGGCGCAGGTGCCAAAGGTAATGGAAAGTGGTCATGATATGTTGACCTCGTGCTGTATAATGAAACAATTTGTAAAATCTCAATCACTAATATCTAAAATGAACATGACACGTATATAGTGGCTCCATTGTTGCTCCACATACTGTATACATCCATAGGCTCGTACTTAGTAGTGTTGTTCACTTCGGCGAGGCACCGTGCCCGGGCCCTTCAACGGCCACTTGGACAGCTCTTGGACCACTTCTCTTGGCCAGGACGGCGCGGCAGCGTCCAAGTTGTCATGGCCCAGCATCTCTTCCTGAGGCGCCAACTAACTAAACCGCAAGGCTGAACAAAAATCGACTCCAGACTGGAGACCAGACTGGAGCCCCAGGGACCGCCTCGCGCACCCGCTGAGATCCGAGAAAGCAGATGAACAAAACACCACGACACCATAGGATTTTGCGACTCAAGCGAATTCCAAGTTTCCGCCAAGTATCAGTGACATCGCGATTTAATGATCTGGCAACTTTGTTACAAGACCTCTTGAGTCATTGTGGGTCATTGTCGATCAAAATGGTTGATCCCAGTTCCTGCTCGAAGCAAGCAACTTATTATGAGGTCACAAATGCACAGGAAATCCCAATGAATCCGGCAGCCTCACTGTCAGACTTGGTATCGGTTGCTTTTTGAACAGGACATATGTTCGTCGTTTTTCTTTTTACATCTTGTGGGGTTCTCTACACCTACAGCCTACAGGACCTACACTCATGGCTCTTATATACGTGTTTCTTAAAGCCGCTCAAGCAAAAACAAACAAACCACACCTACGTACGTACTAGCAGTCAAAAAGCCAAGGACCCAACTTGTCACTCAGCTACATGTGAAAAAAAGGCTCTTCGTGAACAAACAAGGACTGGCACATGTGAGGACCCAACAAATCCAATTTGCACCTGTAGCGTCAGCGGATTTGAGGTCTTGCACACGCCAGCAAACACGGGCTCAGCAACACACGAAGGTCGAGAAAAGCGGCTACGCAACCAAAAGGCAAGCAACAAGAAAACACAATACATCTGGGGTGGGCCCTGTGCGGTCCTCAAATAACCGAGTCACTGAATGACCAAGCTCAAAACTCCTCAAAAACTTATGTGTTTTCACTCCACAAACGCCAAACAAACAAAGCTCTGCTCTTAAGGGGTGATTGATCTACCGGGGGGGCCACCCTGAGTTTGCTCTGAAGAAGTGCCAGAGTTCTACCGAAAAACTCAATGAGAGATCTTGGTTCTGCCACACGCCCTGGCTCTCCACCAGTAGGATAGGCACCTCGGATTGAGATCAAAAGCAAAGACCTGGACTTCCGTCAAAGGGCTAATACCAATCTAAACAAACAGGCAGAGTTCGTGTGAGTTCCTAGAGCTTTCTGTGGATGTTCTTCCAATCAAACCAATGCAAAGAGATGCACAAACCAGTCAAACAAATGTGCTCAAATTCCAATTCCGGTGCACCCAGCTTTGGGATGCCTCATCCAAGATCTGGCCATACAATCTCCTGGCGCATCTCCGGTGACTCCGCCGTTTCCGATCAAAAGTGACCAAGATGTCCATCCGATGATTGAATGTTTCCTAGCGAGTTTTGATGTGAACTATGACATGGATGCAAACAACAGCTGTAACAGTCAGTAAACAGAGTTTACTTGTGGGACAGGAGGAAAAACCTAATGATGAATCGACCCATGAAGATTCACTGTAAAAAGACCAACTTTTACGATCCATGAGTGGGCCAGACTGCAAAACAAACACTGGTTGACCTGGGCATCTACAGGGATCTCTATGGCTTTTCTTAGGTCAAGCCAAAGCCTGGGACCGGGATATACACTATACTGCTATAAGATATTGCAATCTTGTGGCCAATTTTACTGCATTGTCCAAGGTCTTGGGGGGGTAGGTCCTGGAGTCCGCGAACAGGTCATCCGAGGATTCCAGTATCATCGAAACGGAGCTACTGAAATCGAGAGATATGTAGATAGGCTTACCGGTATACCATGAACTCAAATGAAACTATTGCTTCTGGGTGGGAAAGGAGGACCAAGTCAGAAGAAAACCTGATCTGTAATCTTACAAAACTCCTGAGGATGCCTCATAATGCTTCTAAACCTTTTCCAACAACTTGTGTTTCAGCTGCATTTTTTCCGATGTTATTCCAATTACTGTATCCCCACCAGCTTCCTGGGGTGAAAGCCTGCCAGCGGCTACTTTCCAGCCTCTCCTGGTTCCATCCACGAGTTGTTCCACAGCACCCAGTGCCAACTCCACCTCGCCCGCTGCACTCCGAGCCACAGCCACTGGTGCCGCCCAATCCGCGGCGCCTGGAGCTACTGCGTGGTGTGCCACCCGGCGTGCTGTGCCGCGCCAATGTGGCACAGCGGCCAAGGCCAGGGCCAGGGTCGCCCGAGAGGCTCCGCTGCTCCAGGTCGTCCATCGGGGGACACCCCGGTCGCGCAGTGCTTTCAAAAGGATCTGAGGTCGAAAAGGTCCTGGTGCTTTCCACGTTCCGAGGAGCGGTTGAGGGCGAAGCCCATTGTGAAGCCCATCCATGGCGCATGAGCGTGTGGATGAGCAAGACACTCACCTGTGAACAGAAAAGACCTGATTCCGTTGGAGTGTCCTGGCTGAACGCGGAAGCATGTGATCCACTGTGAGACTAGCTACTAGTAGCGTCCTTTGCTCCTAGTAGCGATGCCAGGAGCCCCTAGTAGCTTTCTTGTTCCTAGTAGAAACCGGCAAATGATGATTCATTGGGGCTCAAATCTTTCCCCATCGCAGTTCACATGTTGATGGCGGTTTCCCTGGTCGCCTGCCATCATGGTATATTGAATATTGAATGGGTTTGAATGGTATTGAAAGTATGCATGTTTACACATCAAAGTAAAACTAAAGGTGGAGTCCTAGTGTCGACCCTGCTGGCTGTACTCCATGTGGTCGTACCAGGATGTACCATGTCAAAAGCGGCTGCAAACCTGACAAACTGAGAGCAACCGACTCAACATAAAATAAGTGGTCCTACAGACCATTGCTAATCATAATGACATGTCAACATATACCTGGCCCATCCATGATGAATGACTGACCCATTCCATTGTCCAGGCCACATCAAAATGCCTTGAGCAAATGCTGCATCAGAAAGCACAATCTGGGACACCTCCATGTGGCCATGCTGCTGCATGCTGCAGCATTGCTAACGCGCCTCCGGACCGAAGGCTCTGTCTATTGAACATGTACCAGCCAACAGTTCAACAGTGTAACGGAGTCTGCAAAAAGAACAACCTGCTATGCTTTGATTGTTTGACTCTTTGGCTGTATGAATCGGTAGCAGAAAGGCGGCAGTTCCCATGGACTACGTGACTACATGTTGTATGTGTTCCAAAATTTATTCTATATAACTTGTTCTGCCTCTATTAGTTAGTTCCCGGTATCCAAGAAAGTGCATTACTTCTGCTAAAGTGGATACTGCAAAGGTTATACTTCTGGCTACCCGGACATGGTTTCCAGATCCGTGCTTCCCCGCATTTCCATTGCCAGGCTCGTACGTCCTGGGAGCAGCACTGTGAGCCATGTTGTTACATCGCTTGGTTACAGAAAACGATGTTCCTTCCTTGACTGGCTGGTGCTCAGTGGCCGGCATAGGCAGGCTAGCAGTCCCCTGCTCCATGAGCATTCGAACTACCCAAACAAGTTGATCTGGAGACCTCACGTGTTGTAATCATCCCTGCAAGGAACCAAGGGTCCTCGGCGTCCTCGGTTGAAAGAACACGGATTCAAAGGGAGAATGATGGATTCTTGAACTGGAAATACCAGTGTAACAGCTGACTCCCAGCAGGTGGTAACATCTGCTGAGCATCTACACCTTTGAGTGCTGACCCCCGCATGTTACCAGGGGTGTCTGGGCATCTCTGGATCTGGGATTCAAGTCGAAGCCCAACTGGTTGTGTACTGAAGTGGTCTCCGGATACAGTTGTTTGGTCAAAGAAATATCAAATCTGAGAGGACAGGACTTCGACCAAGGGCTTTCCCTTCATTCTGTTTCAGCATCCTTGAAACCGCCAAACCCAAGTGCATGCAACGCCAAAATAGAAGGTTCTCAGCGCTATAGCAGCAAATCTATAATAACGTGACGTACATTCGAAACTCTGTGACCGGCTTTGTTTTAGAATGTTGTAGAGAGTGTTCAGGAGTGGGTGTTGCTTCGAAAACTTCTGGTAGACTGGAAAAAACTTCGCAACAGGTTGCACAGCTGCCAAGCTACCAGTCGGTGCTACCAGTCGTCTTCGAAACGATCACTCTCAGGCTGAAGTCGTTTGACCACGGTCTGGCCATCTCTTGCTTCATCTCGAAACGCTCGAAGCACCGATCACTGGCGCCACCAGCCTCGATCGTGTGGTTCCCTTCTACCCCTGTCACTACGGCCTTCAGCGCCCGGGTGTCCGTGCCCGGGAGCTACCACTTCGTCCGTGCTCTGCTTGAGCTTCAAGTACTCATCTGTCCTGCGACGCGTGAAACGCACGGCACGGGATGCCACGCCGAGGGCAGTCGGGCGTCGACCTCCGAGAAGGGAGCCTGGGGATCAAACTCTGACTGATGTTCAAGAAGTCTGCTGAGAGCAGTAAAGAAGTCTGCTGAATCCCCCAGCTGTACACACCTTGATGGCTAGCGGAACGCACACAATCTGCTGCCCGAACCCAAATCATGCTTCAAGTCGAGCATAGAACTGTAGAACTGCCCATTGACTGGACAAGTTGATTAGGATTGATTAGGGTGTTTGTCCTCTCATGTCTTCTCTCATAAGAGTGGTTTTGTTTGTGGTAAGTGAGGCAAGTAACTGGTGGTATGTGCATGAGTACTTGTCAGGCTCTTGAACACCCCATGAGGTCCCCTACCTCCGCTCCGAGCGAACCGCATTGATGGCCATGGCGTGGCCAAGCCCTGGAGGAGCGCAGCTGGCAGAAATTTCAGCCTACCCAATACCCAACAGAGGACTCTCACCCATGGCCAGTGTCCTTCAAATTGTAGTTACGTCGTTGTAGAATGTTGTAGTGGGACCCCTAAGTTAAATAGATAGTACAAGAGAATACATGAACAGCGTATCAAACACAGTTCTAGTGTATCGGACACAGGTTCTATGAATTTTGGCATGTTGAGACCACAAAGGGGAGAGTTATGCTTAAACACTGAGGGGCTTTGACGCAAGCAGCCTTTTTGGAAGTCCAATTGGTCTCTTTGCAGTACATCCATGGCCCGTTTCCAGCGCCTAAACAAACATAAACATGTGGCTGGTTCAAAACCGGACCCGGGCTGACCACGGGCATAGAGGTCAAACAAAGGGTCAACTACAGTCGACTCACCGTTCTCAAAACGCTTCGGCTTTTGTCTCAGCCATGGGCCATGTCAGTTCTTCAGTGCTTCTTTCAGATCACCACACTCATCAGTTCTTCCCTTTTGTTCTTCCTCAACTCGGTGGGACAGGTTCCATCGTCTGTCACTATAATCTGGAAAGTCGGGCTTTCAGTCTTTCAGTGCGTGGGAGGAGTGGCTTTCGGATGGTCATTCCTCATGTCTTGTTTGGTGCTTTCGTTCCAACTTGCATCCCCCCCCACCCCCATTGGACCAGCCCCTATTAGCGCAGAAGTGGCCTCGTCGCGCCGGTGTTCTCAGCAAGCGGAGGAAGTGGCGGAAACAAATCACAAGCAGGAACTTCCTCTTTACCGTTCTACACCAACACTGCTTGAACTTCTCCTACACAAGCGAGTGACAACCCCCCTTGACAGTGACCAACTCATTGCAATAGCTTTTCATGTGTTTGCAGTAGTTCACCTTCTACCCAGCTATTTCGTCCAAGAGTCTCTGAGAGGTCTGCATATAGTTACAGAAGTTAGAGACGTTCTCCACTCTTGGTTGTCATTCGGTTGTCATATAACTCCCAGAGATCGCAAACACGTTCACGGCGTGATTTCACCGGTGGCCGCGTCGCCTCAAAGGGCCTCCTCGCACCCTCTCCAACCCCACTCGGTTGGCAGAACGAGTTCTGTCCACTCGGGTAGAAGCTCGGCGGTTCGGGCGTAAAACCCGGTGAAGCGGGTCACCAGCTGAGATCTATGGCGGATGGCACCCAGAGCCCGGTTGACCCAGGTTGACCCGACCTCGCAGATAAACTAGTATTCTGTTTGGGGGTAGTCAACCAGGGTTTCGCATTTGGGTGCGAAAAGGATAACTTTCCGCAATCTTTGCTTGGGATTTCCTGGGTGGGAGTTCCAACTTCCACGCATGCGACATGAGTTCCAGGCTGTCCGTCTGCGACGGCAGAAACAACTCAGAAGAAAGCCCAAAAGGGGCCTTACAAATCTTTCCCTACCGACAGTCAAGTGTTCGATTTCCTTTAAGGAACATTTCAGTGACTATAGTGACTATGACCCATTGTCTCTTCAAGTGCTCTCTTCCACTTCTCCACGTGAGGATGACCAAATATCGATTGACAGAGGTTCTCCGAGTCGCGTTGTCTCCTATAAAGTGAATCCCTTTCCAGCTGTGCCCGACCAGTGGTCCGACTAGTCCATTGGGTGCCCGTGCCGGCTGCAAGGATGCTCAAGACCAGCCGCAAGGATGGAGAAACCACGAAGGATGACTTGGATGTGAGTTCTTCCGAGACTGGTTGATGTTTTGGTGGATGTGTCTCCAATATAGTTCTAACTCTTATAGACTCTAAGGCTTCTGTCTGATAGTGATGTGAATATATTGTCTTAGGTCATGCTTTGTCACAGTCTCCCCTTGCGTGAGATACCGAGTCGGGCTGTTTTTCTTTGACACACATGATGAAACGATGTTACTTGAAAACTGAGACACTCCCGAGCCCTTTGGCATCGGCCAGCTGGTCAGAATGCATGCAAGCAGGCAGGCAAAGCTACACATCCGCCAGGAATTTCACATCTGCTACAAGTAGGGACTCGACACGGACTTGCCTTTGAATTCAGGACCCACAACAAAAACCGTTTGGTGCTGCATGCAAATAGCCAAGCTACTGATTCCCTATTATAGTTAGGATCATCATACATCAAGTGCCTTTCAGGCTGCAGCGTCTTGGTGTTTGGACACTCCCGACCAACTTGGAGGCTTGGACGTTCAAAATCTGATTTGAACAAGATGAAGGGACACCTCGAGTGCGGTGACTCATGATAAATCCAAATTCTTGGAATTCAACATTCAACCAAACTCCAGGGAACTACAGAAATGATTCCCAGTGGGAAGCTTTTAGTTATGAAGATGTATTGTTGATTCAGGTAAATCCAAATTCCTTGGATAGATGATCTAATATGGGGAGAAGACCTTGCTCGGGATTAGATGATAAGGAAAAGGAGCCTTGACCCCTCAGATTTCATACTGACGAATAAAATACATATTCCATTTCTTTGGGATCTTGAGGAACATCTTTAAACCTTTTGGAAACCTGAGCTTCGTGGATGTCCAGAAAACGCTGCTGGCGCCTCACTTTGCTACTTGCAGCTTCTCAGCCCACTCCATCCGCTCCCCACATGCCCTTGGGAGGCCCCCCCCTTCCGCTGTTTCAGGGACGAAAAGTCTGCTCCGGCTATGCCATTTGGCATGCGGAGAGGCACTCTGTCTTAGGGTCGCAGTCGACCCATAGGTCATGGGGGGTCTCACCTTCCGTCTATAAGTTTTGAATGGCAAAACTCCAGTGCAAAGAAGTGCCTGGATGGCCAGTCTTTGATTGGACCCGGGCTTCGGGCAGCCGATACCTGTGGTCTTTGGGCATCGAAAATGCTCCCCCCCACTGGGAGATCTTTGCACCCAGCCTTTCAAACATTCTTACAGGTCGCCACGGTCGCAGGGCTCGGAAGATTCAAGTCCAACAGTCGGTCGGAGACTGCGACCGTCCGGATGGTCGGAGACTGTTTTTCCGGGTGAGTTAAACCCCGTGAGGAGGAATTTTGGGCGGAATGCCAAAGGAACCCTGTCGCCAAAACCTTGTCGCCCTTGCTGCGTATAGTGGAGCTTTGGACTGGAGTGTGGCAAAAAAAAAAGCCAGGTAGGCAGGCAGGTTGTGAGTTGGTGTCACGTGAGCTGTCAAGCAGAAAAAAGGGTGTACATACGCGATCCTTGCCTGGTTAGTTGAGAGACTCTTTACCACATCATACGTTCACTTTGCGTGGTTCATGCTTGTTGCAAGTTCCCTGTCACTTGTTGCAAACGTGTTTCTTCAAGTTCTCCCAGTCTGGATGATACAAATGGTTCACCCAATAGAAAAAACAAAACCATTGAAAGGTGTTGCTTGGGTGAACCATGAAACCAGTGAATTTGTGTTACTTGGTTCGCTTGGTTTATGTCAAGTCCAGTTTCAAGTTTGGAATTCGTGAAACTAGACTTGACAGATTGTGCTTGGTGTTGCGGTCTCCGCTTTGCTCTTCCCTGAAGTGTTGGGGGGGGTCTCCGTCTACTCTCCGTCTACGTCAGTGCACCTATAATTCTAGAACACCCCATCAAAAGGATACGTCAGCAGTGGCAGGTTAAATTCCAAGACCTGGCCTGAAAGCGGGAGAAATGCTGCGCCTCGAGGGAAGGAGACCGGTCCATTTCACCATCCAACCTGTTTAGTTCCACAAATGTCCAGGTGAACAAGCTGGAGCACCAACTTTGGACCACAACTTGTTATATTTCTTTTGTAGGCGCACCACCATGCTCTTCATCTTCCCATCAACGTCCCAAAGAAGAACCTGACCCCCCAAAAAACTGTGGCGTTGTCTCCACTCTTAGTCAACCAAAAAGAATGAGTCAACTGCATTGGCAACACTTGAAACGGCAAAAACGCCGCCAAGGTCCACACAGGTCCAAGGTCACGGGTGGATCCAAGGGTCTCACCGAGGGTACCGGTGGAATGGACATCAAAAACACCGCAGAGAGTCCACAGAGGGCATGTCGTGGTGTCTTCGAAACAGCGAAAAGAAATGCACGAAACATGTATCCCCCTCTCTTTTGAAGGTGGAAGGGATTCTCCGAATTGCTCACCTGTCAGACTAACCAGTAACAGTAAGACTGCTAACCTGTCAGGCTAGAATGGGAAGATAGGTGAATCATGGTGAATCTGAGTCACAAAGTGGGCCCCAAACACAGCAAGCTGACCTCAAGATTGACCGATTGATGCTTGTTGTGTTGTAATACCCAGACAACTATTTCATTATCCATCGTTATGTTCTTCTTGCTGTAGAGGTGCTTGGGGTTGTATTCAGAGAGAGAACACCAATCTCCTAGATGTCCCGTCTCGCCTCGAGTGACGCTCGTCTGGCCCGCGCTTTGAGCGCACTGGGTATTAAATGCTCTCTTCTGGCTTGGCAAAGAATATCTGGACAAAAGAAGAAGCAAAAGTGTTCCCTTTCAAGGGCCCTTTGAGAAGCACATTGCAAATTGCCCAAAGAAGACTGCATCATGTTTGTTGAGTATTGTTCAATCTCTGTGGCTTCATTAGCAATCACTGGCGCACCGTGCCTCGTTTCACCACGCTGATTCTTTTGCGGTCGCGTGTTGTTCAAGAAGCAACCTGCCATTGGAACCTGATGGAACCCGATGTGGCATGTTATGTATATATATATAGGGCTAGGGGATGATTTCGGACAGCCACTTTTGAAACATTTCCACTTGTTAGCATTAACACATACATATAATAGTTTTCTTGGTCTACTATTGCTGTTGCTTCTTGTCTTCTTGTTGTCATTGCTTACTTTAACATCTGGCTTCTGCAACAAACTATTTACTTACTCCAACATCTGGCTTCTGTAAATTACAACAAACAAGCTGGTTTGCAAACAAAGCCTCTAGTTTGCAAACTCCTTGGTTCAATATATATATATATATGTCGAGAGGGGGAGAGGGGGGGGGGGG